TCATGCTTTTTTTCGTTTAAAAGCCTGAAGTACACGTTTAGAGACGTTTTTTTTAAAGGTCAAGGGTGCTTTCGAAACACAAAAATCAAAAACATCTTTTTCTTTTTTAAAAAGATGTTTGTTTTATACTAAAAAAGATGTTTGTTTTATTTATTTTTAAAACATACGGTATTGAGATTATTTACTATTTACCTCATATGATTTATGTACCACGTGTAATGTTTCCCTATTACTAAGCACGTAAGCATGAGTGCATACATGATTTAGGTACACTAAAATATTTCTTCGGAATTGAGGTTGCTCGTTCTCCCGAGGGATTTGTGTTAAGTCAGCGCAACTACACACTTGCTATCCTGGAAGAAAGCAGTCTTCTAGCCGCTCGGCCTAGTCTATTTCCAATGGAGCAGAATTTGAAACTACGACGAGATGATGATAGCCCGCGCCTGCAGATGCTTCCTCATATCGCCACTTGATCGGTCGCCTATTGTACCTTACTGTGACTCGTCCTGACATTGTTTTCTCTGTTAGTCAGCTTAGTCAATTTCTCAGCCAGTCACGTCAGTCTCATTTCGACGCCTCCATATGCGTTCTTCGTTATTTAAAACAGACTCCAGGACAAGGAATTTTCTTATCTGCAGATAATGATTTCTCTTTGAAAGGTTATTGTGATGCTGACTGGGCAGGGTGCTCCTACACTCGCCAATCTAGCACTGGATATTTTATCACTCTAGGCAATTCCCCAGTCTCTTGGGGGATGAAGAAATAGTCTATTGTTTCACGTTCTTCCGCAGAAGCAGAATACCGTGTCATGGCCGTTACAGACTTACAGTAAGTGAAATTTTATGGCTACGATGGTTACTTCGAGACCTAACCATTCCTCAAACTGGTCCAACTTCTCTCTTCTGTGATAATCAAGCAGCTCGACACATTGCACTCAACCCTGTTTTTCATGAACGTGCCAAGCACGTAGAAATGGATTGTTTCTTTGTTCGTGAACGTGTTGCTAGTGGCGAAATCCAACCATGTTGTATCAGTACAACACATCAGATTGCTGATATTTTCACTAAGGCGCTCGGCACTGACCATTTTCAGTTTCTCAGGAGCAAGTTGAGTGTTCGCAACCTTCACACGCCACCTTGAGGGGGAGTATTGAGATTATTTACTATTTACCTCATATAATTTATGTACCACGTGTAATGTTTCCCTATTACTAAGCATGTAAGCATGGGTGTATGTAATGCATGGCCCATGCATTATTCCTTTCTAGTATGCACATCACCTATTTATATGTAGCATGCATGCCATGGAAGAATACAAGTTACGTATCATTATATTCCTTTTACATGAAGTCTAGCTCTCTTAATATTAACTCCTATTTTTACCATTAGTTTTATACGGAGTATGAAATTTAACATACGGAGTATCATGGAAAACAATTACTATACCAAATCACTTTATAGAAATTTCGTATATATAAGAGGAACTTTTTAAGAGCATACAAAGTGCCACATAATCTTGCCATGTCATCCATCATATATTTTTATTTATTCTATTAGATTCTATTTTTAATGTATATTGATATGGAAACAAAAGATTGTATGATAAAAATCAACCTTATTTGGTAACTTTTTCAAAAACCTTTTACGTAATTGATAATTATTGGAACACGACATTTAATAACCAACCTACACTTACACTACAATTTATACGGAGTACTTTTTATAAGCATGGAGTAAAAATTACTACGTATTTGATTATTTTTATACTTTTTATCTTTTGTTACATTCTATTGACGAATGAAATATCTATGTTTTGCTATTTATTTTGTCTTCAAAATTATTTTATGTAAAAAATTAATAATAGTGTCCTATTTCCTAAAATATAATATTTATTCTTCTAAACTCAATGTTAAGATCATGGTTAAAATTCTAAGCCCCACATTTGCAATTGTGTTAATACTTCGTATTTTTCTGTCATTTTTATATAATTTTTTCTTTATTTTACAAATGGAACATATTTTAACTTTGTTCATGATTCAGGAGATTCCGCCTATTCAGCCCATTAAGGCAGCTTTAATCAGTCTCAATAAAATAAGCCTATTCCACCTATTTTAGTATCATCAAACAAACTCAATATTTAGACTGAATTTATTTTTCTTTTGCATCACATTATATTTGATTCCGAAAAAATCATATTTAAAATTAACTAAATTATGTACTGTCCGTGCATCACACGGGCTTTAAATCTAGTATAATATAAGATGTAATTGCTTTTGAATCATACGTTGGGCACCGTACGAAGCTATTATATGAAAGATATTTATCAGGGTTCTATCAGCTAGACGGGAGCTAAGCGGAAATTATAATGGGCTAGGGTAAAACGGGAGCTAGAGGGGAGTTAAAACGGAAAACACAATGTACTATCCAATAAAGCTTTTAGGATATTTATCAATTTTGTAGGAATCACAAGTTTAATTAAGAGTTATACTCCCTTCGTTTCAGTTTGTTTGACACACTTTCCTTTTTTGGGCGTTTCAAAATGAATGTCACACTTCCTTGTTTCTTTATTTGGTAAACAAAACTTTACCAAAACAGTGTCAAGCAGTGTTCAAAACAGTGTCAAACGGTGTTCAAACAGTGTCAAAACAGTAAAATTTACCCCCTCAGTAAAAAAAATTCCTTAATTCTTGACAAGTCAAACTGTGTCAAACAAATCGAAACGGATGGAGTACGTATTAGTTAACATTCATGAGTCTAAACATCATAAAAGGTCAACTACATGATTACATAAGATGATGAGAAATTATTAAAAGAAACAAATGTAAATCATCTAGTTATGTAAATTCTACAAGATCAAATCACATCTCAGCATCTAGATTTATTTTTATAAAGAAAAACTTAAAATTGAGAGGATGACTGATGGCCCTCAAATTAAATCTCTTTGTGATCTATTGTGATATTATACTAGTCAATGAGCGGAGTAAAAATGATACAAGTTACACACATTAGTGTATGTGACACGACTACACGAGCATAGGTCTAATATGAGAGGTTTCTTTCTTTTCGGCATTTTTGAATATTGCTAAATTAAATTCAAAATATAAAAATATGACTTATTTGAAATTTTCCAAAAAAAAGTGACATATTTAGTGACTAGTTTATATTGACTCGTCTTATACAGTGACTTGTCATTATAAAATACACTATAGTGACTAGTTCATAGTGACTAGTCATATTTTTGTCCAAAAATATAACCAGTCGTATTTTTGGCCGGAGAAACTCTACTAGTAATATTAAAATCATTTTTTTCTTTTCATAATTATTTTCTTTTAATTTGTTGGTTTCTTAGAATTCTCATTAGCAAATAAAAGAATTATTACTCCGTAGTTGATATTATATTTTAACGGATGAACAATGAAAGACAATAATGATTAAATTAAATATACTTTCATTTGTTTATAGTTAATCGATAACGTACAATAACTCGCCAATATGATGCGGAGTACTAAGGGAGTGTTTGCAATAGCTTAAAAAAAAGCACTTCTCAACTTTTGGCTTAAAAAAACACTTATTTACCAAACACTTCCAATTTTTACTTTTTCTCGGCTTGCGTGTGAAAAGTGATTTCCCTTTTCTCTTACACAAAAAGCACTTATTTTACCAAACACTATCAACTTTTACTATTAATCACTTTTTCATTACATCTCCAAAAGTGCTTTTTTTAAGCAGAAGCAGTTGCAAACACTCCCTAATTATTCTTATGTCAATTCTTCATACAGGTCAAAAAGTTGTAAAAGTGAGGATCAACTTTCTTCACAGGACGAACTTTTTTTTCTTCTTCAAATGTTTCCAGGTTCCTAATTTTACTTCAAAAAGTTCAAACAATAGAAGTGCCTCCGCCCATACTTTTACAGATTTACCTTGTAAATCCATATTTGTTTTTGGAAAGCGGACAAGTCTTCCTTCCTTCATTGGGGGAGCATAATGAAAAAAAGAAACATGAAATAAATAAGTTCTTCTTTCTAATAATAGAGGTGTTCTCTCTTATGCACTTCGTAATCAAGTGTTGGTGCTTTTTTTGACGGGATTTATATCAAATAGAATTTCCAAACCTACAGCAAAGATTCCGATAAATCACTTAGGTGTGTTTGGAACTGTGATTCTGCTTCCTTTTTAAAGTAGAAGCAGAATCAGAATCAGTTTTCAAAAGCTGGTCACCCTCAACTTCAAAAAAAAACTGATTCTAGAAGTAAATTTGAGCACCAGAATCACTTCCGCACTTTCATCCAAACACTCCAGTTTCTGATTCTGCTCCGTGATGGAGCAGAATCAGTTTTAAGAATCAGATCCAAACACCCCCTAGTGGGAAATGGCCTGATGAAATCCAATGAGACCCTTGCAATTCGAATCACTTAGTGCACTTCGTAACATATTATATTAAATCAAGTTCCTCATGTAAGTGATGTAACTGAGAAAACAATACAATCGAGCAACAAACAAAAGCCCTAACCTCCTTCTAACCAACATTAATCATAAGTCAGTCAGCCTCCTCACGCCTTGATCAAACATAGAGTAGTCCACCCAAGATAGCGAAACTAATCGCTGAACAAGTGAGAGCTTTGAAGCTATTAATGGCTGAGTCAGCCTGATTGCCTCCAAACAAAAACCTAGCAACTAGAATAAACCAAACAACGCACCTACCGCCATCATTGTATAACAAAATAACAAAAAAAAAAATAAGAAAGGGAAAACTTTCAAATAGGTCTTCGAATTTTCATAAAAAGGTCAAATAAATATTTATATAGGAGGCTCTGTTCGGTCGTCGCGATTTAGGGCCGTTCCCGGTGTAATTTTTTGATGAAAATTTTTTAGCATCTTATTCATCAAGTATAGTTTATTCATACCAAATTACAGCTAAAACTTCAATCAGGAATGCATTGAAATTAATTCCTTAAAATAACTGCGCATTTAACTTTTTTCAATTGAACTTTTTTCAAAGTTCGCAATTTGATTAATTTTTTTAATCGTATGAGTACCTAATTAATTTTTTTATAGTACAAGAAAAATATTGACAATTTCCCATATAATAATGAGTTAAATTGATAAATTCATAATGAATGCGTGTTTGAATATATACATTAAGTCATAAACACTTATAAACTTTAAAGATTCACATTCAATACATATCAAATTGCAGAAGTTTTCAATTCCATACTTTTCCGTTCATCAATATCGAACCGGGTGCAAACAAAGTTTTTGAATAGCACCAGCAATAAATTGAAGTCAATTACATGGTGAAGAAGAAGATGATCAAAGCGGTCATTGTACCAACCAGCAATTCCTGAACTGGAGAAACGCACTTTCCCTGAAACTCTTCACTCTCACCAGACAAAAATGGGTGCAGAACAATCCCATTCCCGTCCCCGCCCTCACGCTACTCGTCTTCAGCAGATAACACGCGGGCCCACACTCTGCTCCCCTCCCCTGCACCACCACCCCCCACGCCCTACTCACCCCATCCGCCTCTCCGCCGTCCCCACCACCGCACCTTCCCTCTTCCTCCGCCACCTCTTCTTCCCGGAGCGCTTCCACGAAGATCAACCCGTCAGGGGTCTTCCTCTCCCCGCTCTCCCACTCCCGCTTCACCGCCGGCCACTCCTCCACGACGGCCCTCTCTGTTCTGGTATCCGCCTCCCCTCCGCCGTCCTCCTCCTCCGAGTACACGTGGACTAGCAGCGGCGCTCTATTCAAGTTCTTAACAATTTCGCCGACCGATCCGCGCATCCACCGGTCCAGATTCGCCGCCGCGATTTTATTCTCATTCCCGCCCGCTTCTTCTTCGGCGGCGAATAGACCCTTCCGTTCCGTCGGCGAAACAGCGCGGAGATCGCACGGCGAGGAGCAGGTCGCGTAGACGCGCTGGACAGGGCTTCTCGTTGAGATTGGGGTAAAGTGAACCGGGTCGGGTTTGGATCGGAGCGGAGCTCGATTACCGCGAACGAGTGAATAAGGGTCGGTGGCGGCCCCGGCGTGAAGACTGAGAGACGCCATTGTTGACCGGAGAAAAGATGGAACTCGATTACTCGAAAAAGTAAGAAGCTTCGCCGAGTTTCGCCGGACGAATTAGGGATTCGGAATTTGATTTGGGGAAGAGACTGTAATAATTATATAATGAATGTGGTTGCGTAAAGGCAGATTAAAGCTTCGTGCGGGGGAGACTATATAATTTGGAAGCCATGCGGCGAGTTGAGGAAGACACGCGATCGCGGCGTGAAATTCATGATTGCCACGCGCTTTGCTTATGTGGACTGCATATCTGGCACGGTCTTTTCGATGACATGGCATTTGTCTTCCACGTCATCAGATTTAATTTCTTTGTTCTGTCCGGACTCCGGTGCATTTGATAAAAAGAGATTGGTTTCTGACTTTCCTCTTTCCTCCCTCAAATAGAAAACTTCTCTTCTTCAAGATAAAAAGAGATGTGTAGTACCAAAATCCTCTGGATAATAATGGTTAAAACTTAAAATCGGATGTCTTGATATATTTACGAAACTACCCTCATTTGGGCCATTGAATGGTTGATGACATGTTGCAGCATAAGAGGTTTATTGTATCTTCTTTGGAAACATTATAAAAATAATCCCGCTTTCTACAAATATTTTCAAAATAGTCTCATGTTTCATATTTTTTGCTGAATTTTATTTCTTAAATTTTATCCCTAGACATTATTCTTATTCATTTTTCATCTTTTCGTTTTATTTCATTTTTCTTATGTATTTATGAGATTTTTTTTTATAAAATATTACTTTTTTTCGTCTCATATTTATCTTCTAAAGTACAAATGACATGTAGATTAAAATAGTGAGTGTTGTGTGGCGGAGAGTTGTGCAGGGACGAAGAGGTAAAGTTTGGAAATAATTCTGGGACAGGGAGAGTACTAATAAAAAATTCATGGACAAAAATATGACTATAAATTACTATGAGTAATTTTATAATGACTACGATGTAACATTTGAATACATTCATAGTAACTAAAGTTACTAGATTCATATTTTTATCAACTACTTTTATTGTGGTTATATATTTGAAATTATTTCTTTATTTATTCTACTTTCCTTCTTGATGATTCTCAGAGGCAATTTTACGGGGTCCCAATTTCTTAACAATTTATTAATATTTCATAGTAATATTATATACTTCCTCCGTTCTTTTTTAGTTGCAACATTCCTTTTTTCACGCTTGCCAATGCACAACTTTGACCGTCATTATATTTAATTCTCTATTAGTAAAAAACATTTAAAAATCAGATGATGAAACTTCAAAATGAAACGAATTCAACAATATTTTTTTAAAAAATGATTCACATACATTAATAAATAAAATGTAGTCAAAGTAGAGTACATGAATAGTGTGCAAATTCCAATGTTGCAACTATTACGATACAGAGGATAGTATTAATATTACTATATTGTAAAATATAGTTACTAAAAAAGAAATATAGAGATCCTTCATTTTTTCCGTCAATCCTTTTAGTCCTTTTTTACTCAAATTGCTTGAGTAATGAGTGTTGTTTGAAATCAAGTATTAAATAACTTTAAAATTTGGCTTATTACATTATTTAATGAGTATTTAATCAATTTGAATATAAGTATGTGGGGTCTCAACTTTACATTTGGAACTGGGGCCTCCGAATTCTTTAGACGGCTCTGATCATTACCTTTTTGAAGAAGACTTTTTCTCGTTGTACTTTTAAATATATAGGAACATTTGACAAAAATAATCTTACCCTTGATCGATCTTCTCTTAATAATTCTACATTTATGTAATCCCAAAATAATATCACCATTGTACCTCACTTCTTTCATTGAACACTAATCGATTGATCATGACCTAATATACTACTCCCTCCGTCCCAAAAAGATTGACCAAATTGACTTTTCTTGCTCAACAGTGATCAACTTTGACCAATGATAACTTTTAATACAAAATTATTTGAAATATGAAAATTCTATGAGCTTATTCTTTATTAAAAACTCTTTCATAAAAGTATAAAATTAATAAATTACATATAAATAAAATACATAAAATCATTGTCTAAACTTTAATATCATTGACCAAGAAAAGTCAAATTGGCTAACCTTTTTGGGACGGAGATAGTACGTTTTTTCTTCTCTTTGGAAACCTTACATGAATAATTTCATCTTTCACAAATCTACTTCAACCTTACATGAATAATCCCACCTTTTATTCTTATTTCTTTTCCATATATATTATTCTATTTTTCACTCTATTAAGAGAGTTTTTTTATGTACAATTTCATTTCCAATAGATTTTCTTGTCGTTTTGTTTTGGATTATTAATTAAATATATCCTCAACTATCATCAAATTCACAAATATATCCCATATATATTTTCACTTTTATTAAAAAAAGATATAAACTTCAAATTTTATCACAATCACACTTTCAATGGCTGAATTAGTAAAACATATTAGTAAAACTCCCCAATTAGTACTTTTTTTATTTTCCTTTTTATGTTTCTCTTGTTAATTCATTCTTTTTTTTTATCAAAAATCTTTTTTCTACTCTACTTTTTTTATTGTCTTTTTTTAATTTTTACTTTTTCTCTCTTTTTCTTTTTGTTACCTTTTTATGTTTTTCATCTTTCTTCTTGTTATCTTAATTACACCATCAATATATATTTTTCATTCTGCAATATCGTATATTTTTAACATGTAAGTCTGCCCATTAATTTTATCTACTAGTATGAGAAAATCTCTATGCCACGAAAAAATTAGGGAAATATAAAATTGAAAAAAAAAAACATTCGGGAAAATATAAGAAAAATAAAACATTCTCGAAAAACAAAATTACATTTTCCCAATTATTTTATTTTTATTTACATTTCCTGAATGTTTTATTTTTCTTTAAATTTTTTCTCTCTAATCTTTTTATCACTTAGAGTTTTTCCACAATTGATGGAATTAATGGGTGGATTACTTAGAAAAATAGGATAATGAAGAAAGGAGAAAAGAAATATTGATGGTGGAATTAAGATTATAAGAAGATAGAAAAGAAAGAAGGAAAACATATAAAAAAGTAACAAGAATAAAAAGGTGGAAAAGTGAAAATAAAAAGGAAATACGTAGTATAACAAAGAGTAGAGTGTGAAAAAGATCTTTACTAAAAAGAGAATGATTAAGAAGAGAAACATAAAAAGTGAAACGAAATAAAAATACAAGAAAAAATGACCCAAAAAAAAGCTATTTGGGAGGAAATCGTACAAAAAATCTCTCTTGATAGAGTGAAAAATAGAATAATAAACATGGAAAATAAATAAGAGCAAACGGATGGAAAATGAATAAAAAAGTGTCCAAAATAAAGCAAGAAAAAATTTAGGGAGGAATGGGGGAAAATGAAACATGAAACTGTTTTGAAATTGGTCATATGTGATATTATTCTTGTCAATTTTTTCAAATTTATATTACAACTTTGTTTCTTGTACCCACCTCTAATACTCACCCCACCAAAACCGCCCCGTGCCTCAAACACATTGATATCAATTTGGGCTGGTTTAGACTTAAGAGTACTAGTTCAGACTTCAGAGTATCAATTCCAGTCCGAAACTCAAAAAAACAAGTGCCACTTCAGGGCTATACATGGCCATATTACTACTCCAAAACATGATGTGATTATCTATGAGAATGTCATGATCAAACAAAATGTTACTAAAATTACAATACTTTTGGCATTTTCCAATGCTAATCCTATAGTTCAAAATAATATGACCTCATATGCAAATTCTGCCTGATTGTGAAATGATGAATTAAATATCTAAATTACAAAGCAGGTTCTAAAATAAAATATAATAAAACATGAAAAGTGGATCATGAAACAAGCTCGGAAAGGTAAGAAGTGAAACACGAAACTGCTTCCTGTAGATGGCATTTCCGAAGGTCTTCAGAGATGGGCGCCTTAAACACGGTATCAAAACACCACAGTTGAACCTCTCTTGTCGAACCTTCACAGGTATGGGATAGAAGCAGGTTGCATATTTCCTCACCCATCATTGAATATACAACCCTGGTTTATAAATAAAATAGATTTTTTTTGTACATTAATGAACAAATAGACTTCGTTGGATTGAAATAGACATACTACATCTATTATTAGAAAATAATCAATCAACATATAATATAATGGGCTATTCTTTCTATCACATTAGCTTTTTAATACAGTTTAGAAGTGCACTTCTGTTCATTCTCAATATCAAAAGAATAAGTAGATCTTGACTTACTTAGCTACTTGGCTGCGAATGCTTTTCATTCAAAAAAACAATAATTTCAGCCATTTCATTTCAGCGCAATATATATTACCATAAGGGCCCTACTTTATGGTATAAAAAAAAGGCCCAACTAATAATTTATTTTCTACCATCTTCTGAGGTTCATGTTCCGAGAAAACAAAGGATAAAATGTTTCTACCGTGTTCTGAGGTTCATGTTCCGAGAAAACAAAGGATAAAATGTGAATATTGGGTTAAACGTGGAGTGAAAATCAGGGTAGTCAAATTCAAGATCCTATGTAGGTTTGGATTGGGACCTAAAGATCGTAAATCGTAGGATCTAACTCGATCGTGTGATCCTACATATACATATGCATGTGTTTGCATATACACTGCATACTAAAGTAATACACTAAAATAACACTCAGTAATATACAACTCCATATTAAACAAAATTAATAAATTAAACTAATAAAGTAATAAACTAAAATATTATTTGGCCTGATCGATTCATGTTAACTAACCCTAAAATATTTTGGGACCAAGACTTGGATGTTGTTGTTGTAATAAACTAAAATACTAATATAGTAATAAACTAAAGTAGAAAACTAACATAATATAGTAATAAACAAAGTAATAAATATGTTACAAGAAATGTACCGGACCACCCGGCTCTGGAACCGGTCCGTAGAGTCCAAACCCGTAAATGTGCCTAAAACCGAAATTGACCAGCGACTCGGAATTAACCAGACCGCACCCAGAACGGTTAAAAACTGGAAATCAGTGAAACCCGGTTAATGTACCGGATTCCTCAATTAAAAATTCTACAACCAAGGGGTTTCTAACCAGGGAAGTCTGCTTGGCTATATACACAGGTATCACCATCCATGCTACTTGGTGGAT